GCCGTTCAGACTCGCGGACCCGCCACTACTCAACTGCCGCCGCTGCTGCTGCTGCTGCTGCTGCTCAGTCTCCCGCCTTGCCTCCATCTCGAAGATGCTGTTGTAGAACTTCTTCTTCACGTAGAAGCGCGTCGCCGCCGTGGCGTCTGTCGCACTGGCATTGTCCGCCAACGCAGGCTTGGCACTGTCCCGCTCCGCCTGCGTCGTGGATGGCGAGTTCTGCGGCCTCGTCGTCAAGAACTCGACCCGTGCCACGTGGGAATACATCTCACCGGTGAGCAGCGTCTCCGTCTTCCCTGCCCCGGCCGCCTCCGTGCTGGTTTCCGTGTGGAAGTTGCTCGTGCCCCGACGCTGCAGCGACGCGCGCCAGGCGGGGGGGAGGTGCAGAAACTGAAACAACGCCGAGACAAGGCCGTCCATCACCTCGTCACAGACACTGCCATACTTCAAGGCAAGACGTCTAAAGACCTCCTCCAGGAAGAATATGTTTAGCATCCATCGGCCCAGCTTAAACAAACTGCGTCCATGGCGAATGGTGTTGATGTTGCGCCAAAAGCGCTCCGCCCAATAATCGGCAAACTTCCGCGCATCCGTCGCGAAAAGCATAGGCCGCTTGAGGAGGCAAACCGTCAGCTGCAGTCCGTACTGCAGGCACTTAAAAAGTTTGTCTCTGCCCTCCGACGACGTCAGGACGTAAAGGACGGTGCTGCGCGGGAGGTCGTTGGGGATGAGTGCCCAAACCCCGTCCCCCTCATCCTGGAAGTATCCCTCCACACGCACCTGCGTCCGACAGAAACTGTCCCGCTGCCGCATTGAAAGCTGCGTGTCAGACGCCTCGGCCGCCCCCTCGCTCCCCCCGCCCCTGCGATTGGTTGGATCAATGACGCTGAGAAACGGATTCCCAGGGGAGGTGGGGCTGGTGGGAGGAAAACCCGCTTCCGTCATCCAGTGATCCTGAATGCTGTCCATGCTGCGCAGGGGAAACTCTTGGGTGGCCGTTCCACGACGGCCGAACGTTGGCGACATCCGCCGACACGCAGACGGGCTTGGGAAGCGGCGGGCGCGAAATGCAGGGGCCTCCGCGGTGGTGCCCTGCTGCGAGGGCTTGTCGGCTTCCGGTGCCTCGCCCGCGGCGTTTCCGGCCCCCTTCGAGCTTTGCTCCATCCTGCCGCAGGTCCAACCGCCTCCCTTCGCGTCACTGCAAACCCGTGTGGATGGCGTAGCGGTGCCGTGCGGCGCAGTTTCCTCCCTCTCTCTTGCTTACAGGCAAAGAAGCACACAGCGCCGTCCCTCGTTGGCTGGACTTCTCCCGGTGTGTCCGTGTGTTTTGCTCTTCGGATGCCTGTTTTTGTTTTTGCCTTTTTTTTTTGCCTTCTTCCTCCTCTGTGGTCTGCGTTGCGTTCCCTACCACGCTCTTCTTCCTCACACCGCTGGAGCCCATGCCGCGGCATTGCGAGAAGAACACGGCAACGCAGCGGAGCAAAAAAAAAAAAGCAAAAAACAAAAGAAAATGAAATGCGAAGCGCAGGCCTGCACGGAGGGGCGAGCAACACGGCGGGCGGCCCAGCAACGCCGCAACCACGCACAACAACAGTAATAAAACAAACAAACAAACGGGCAGGAAGCGACGCGTCGCATTCATGAAGTTTGTCTTGATTATAATAGGCTGCTTACACTCTCTGTCTCTGTCTCTGTCTCTGTCTCAGTCTCAGTCTCCGTCCCTCCCACACACGCAGACAGAGACTCACGATACCACCTTCTTTCCCTCCTGCTTCCTTTTTTTTCTTCTCCCCTTTTGCTTACGCGGTGGAGGCGATGTACTCCGTCGTGTTGGCCGCCTTGGCACGCTTGCGCTGCGGCGCGCTGCCAGGCTCGTACGCTGGAAACTTCTCCTCCCGCTCCCGCTCGTCCTCTATGCGGGAGTAATGAATCCAAGCGAGGCCAAAGCGCTCCATGTCCTGCATGTCCAACGCCATGTTGAACATGAAGAAGAGGGCGACGGGGGTGGCGAACTCAAGGTACGTCGCTCCCACGTGCGAGGTGTAGGACTTCAGGAACCGCCAAACCCCCGACCACCGGCTCGCACCGTCTGCAGCGTCGCTATCAAGCAGCATCTTTTTCTGACAACGAATAATCGAGACGGGATTCTTCCTTCTTTTTTCTTTAAAAAAATTATTATTATCTTAGCTTGACGTGTTTTACCTTCCTGCTTGGGCAGGTAGGGGGGAGTGGGGGGCAAGGGGGAGAGTGCTGTGTGGCGACCGCCTTCCTCTAGTCGCTTCCGCTGCTTCTTTGCCCAGCGCAGCGCACATGCACACACACCCGCAGAAAAGACGACACGCGGCGGCGGCGGCGGAGGCGGAGGTGGTGTAAAGGGCGAAGAAAGATTTTTTTTTTAAAAAAGAGAAGAGTAGTAATAATAGTCATTCAACCTTACCGCAGACCCTCGCAGAAGCGCTGCCGACTGCGCCTGTGACGGTGCTCAGAGTGGCGTATGTTGTCGCATATGCATTTACTTCCGGGCGATTAAGCATTTTATCGTCTCTTTACTTTCCTTTCCTTTCTTTCCCACCACTGCCGCTCTTGTTACTTTCTTTTGCCTCAGCGCCGCCCTCTCTCCGGTTTTCCCACCCTTTTTCTTACTTCGCTTTCTTGTTTTTTTCTTGTCCTCTTTGTGCTTTTTTGCTCTTTGTTTTTGTGCATGTGCGTTTATTTTTCCTGTGCGTCGTCTGCTGCGCGGTCTTGCACTTCCCCCCTGAGTGCCCCGCGGTGAGGCCGGCACAATTCCCCGCCCCTCCGCCCCCACGCAGCGGCGGTCACAGCGCTAGTCCTCCGGGTTGTAGTTCTCCCGCACGATGCGGTGGATCTGCGAGGGGGTGTACTCCGACTCGTTCGTCGCGTAGAGCGTGACGAGCTCCGGCGGCACGTACTCCGTCGCGGGGGAGTTGATGGTGAGGGAGCCGATGTTCTCCACGTTTTCCCCGTACGGGGTGGGCAGCACCTCGTAGGGGGAGCCGTACGTGTTCCACGGAATCTCCTTCGCGTCGGTGCGGGAGATTTTCACCAGGCTTGTGCAGAGGACGTCGCGGGGGTAATACGGCGACATCTTCAGCGTCGTGGTCGCCACGAGCACCGGCACGGCGAAGTGCTTCGCGGCAATGCAGAGCGGGTGGGTGCCGATGGTGGCCAGCAGCCCGCCGTTCGCCAGCACGCTCTCCGCCCCGATCAGCACCTTGGTGCAGTTCCCCATCACCGCAAAGGCGGAGCTGTCGGGGAGCACCTGCACCTCCGCCCCGTTCTCGCGCAGCTCCGTCGCCAACCGCTGCGTCACGTGCGACGGAAACGGGGCGCCCTCGAGGATGATGACCCTAAACCGCACCTGCGCCTTCAGAGCACTCAAAAAGTATCGCTGGGTTGTGTTGCTGCAGCCAATCGTAATGACAATGTCTGTGAGGTGCAGCTGCCGCGGGGCCCGCAGGCACAGCTCATCGCACATTCCCTCCATCTCCGCCGCAAACACCGCAGTGGCTTCTAGCAGGCTGTCAAAAAAAGCATCGATACGGACTGGAAACTCCGCCGTTCGCTCATCGTCCTCCTCCTCGCGCCTGCTGGGCGCCCGCCGCAGGGACTGCTCCCCCGGAATGCCGACGCCTAAGACGCCTGCCGTTCGCCGGTCGTCGTCCTCAAATGTGGCGTCCAGCTCAACAATACTGTCCCGCTGCGAAGTGTTCATGGTAAATCGCACTGTGAGTGCCTTAATAGACGCATGCCGCTGTCGTCGCTCCTCACTACCTAGCGCAGATGACGGAGAGAAGGGTCCGGGCCCACTATCTACGCGGGAACGTTCCAAGGAGCCCTGCGGCGATCCCCCTTCCAGCAGCTGTGGCAGGGGCTGTGACGATTGCAGCTCCTGCACGTTATCCGCACTATCATGACGGTCACTGGCTTCTAGTTCATTTAGCTGCTGCGCCGCGAGGACCTCAAGCTCTGAAATGCTCGCCATATTCTCCAACGCCGCCTCACGGATGAGTGACAGCACGCGTCGGGTGACATTCATGAGCATCAGCGTGGCAAACTGCGCCCGCAGCACCTTCACCCCGACAAGGGAGATAAGCTGCATCAGCCGTCGCACCTGCTGGGTGGCTACAAGGTCCGCAGAACAGTTCGCGCGGAGCATCTGGTGGCTGATGCTCTCCCGCTGCGCCTCGTGCTCACGGAAGTCGGAGACAACCTGACGCATGATGTCGAGCATGCCACACGCCGCCGTGGTCGAGAGGCTCCTCTTGCCCCTCGCACCCAATTTACCGCGTCGGATGGTGCTGACGAACCTCTCTATGTTTCTCGCAATGGCGTCCATGAGGGCTGCCGGCTCCTCCACGTGGTGGTCAAACTGCCACTTGAGCATTCGTATGGATGGACAACGGCGCAGCTATATATATATATATACTCTATGCATGGGTGTATGTGTGTGGAGGGAGTTGGGAGGGGATGGGGGTAAGCGGGGTCTGTATGCATGTCAGCGCGGGACCGCTCGTGCGATACTTCCAAACGACAGTCGTGTGACTCTTTACGATCCCCCACACACACACACACGCACACGGCAGTGGAAGCAGCGACAGTAACAGAACGGGGGAATTTGTTGGAAGAGGACAGGCCAAAGACGAACGAAGAAACAAGCAACCAACCAGCAGAAGCCACGGCACCGTTACAGCAAGGCCCGCAAAAACCGTGTGATGTACATGACGGAAGGAACATGCAAACTCTACGCACACGATACATTCATGCACTAAACCCACATCATCCTCTTCCTTGACGGCGTTTCTCATGCTGCCGTCGTCGTGCCTCGCGCCGCAGCACAACGGCCGCCAAGCGTTTGATTTGATCCCGCGTAAGGGGATCCTCATTGTCGTTTAGCGTGACGCCACGATCACAGCTCTGTGAGTCCTCCTCGCCAGACGACACGCTGGAGCAGATGGAGGACCTGATCTCGAGTGGCTCGCTGGAGGGCACGATGCCGTCGCTACTCGTACCGGGCTCTGACGCACCCCCGCTAACGACGGCGTTAGAGCCGCCGTCCAACGTGGAACCCGCAGCGCCTGGCGGCGGCAGCGCAATACGCGTGTTGCTGCTTGGCACCACGACGAGCATGGACTCCGTGCTGATCGGCCCATTGTCGCAGCTGACGGCCTCGTCGGCGAGGGACAGTATTTTCCGCCCAATAATTCGCAGGTTTGTCTGCAGTTTGTCCGCGGTGGTGGGTGGCACACGTACCTCGGGGCGATACATCGCAGTGGCGGCGGCGAGCACGTCCACACGCCGCAGAAGCTCGGCAAAGAGCCTCTGCAGCCCCATGCCTTCCTGCATCGCCTCCTCCCGCTTCTTCGAGGCCTCCGCAATGCAGGTGAGGAGCTCCTCCCGCAGGCAGGAGGAGACGGGGGGTTGACCGACACCGCAGAGTTTCTCCTTCGCCTCCGCCTCCTTTAGGCGCTGCACCTCCGCAGAGAGCTGCTCCAGATTCTCCTTCTCTTCGCGCAATTGATTCTGCAGCTGCAGCCGTGCGGCGTACTCGAGCTCGAAATTTGTCACCAGCTCATCAACGGTGGAGGACTCTGTGACCCGCATCATCTTCCGGAGGGATTCCTCGTAGGCGCGGAGGCGCTCCTCGTCCTCCGGTGACCCGCCGATGGTCTGCAGCAGGCCGTCGTTGTCGCCCCCCTGCCAGTGCGAGTCCGGCTGGGCCGTGGAAAGCCGCTCCGCCACACTCACGGCGCGCTTCCGCCGGTGCAAAATCACCTGCCTCTCCGTCTCAGCGTCCTCAATGCGCTGTTGCTCCTCCTCAATCCCCTGCTGAAGCTTGACCTCCCGAAGCTCGAGCTCCTGCGTTTCCTTCAGTGCCTGCTCCACGCGTTGGCGACGCTCACCGAGGGCCTTATCCTTCAGCCTTCGCGTCTTCTGAAACTTGTCCTTGAACTCCTCCAGGGCCGCCTGCGCCACCTGGTGGTCGGCGGTAACGTTGTGGAACATCACCACCAGCTTCTCGTACTGCCTCTGCCGGGTATCAATCTCACGCTCCATGACGGCCACGCGGGACTCGCGGCCAGCCTCCTCCTCCCTCAGCTCCTCCAGCAGCTTGGTGTACATGTTTCTAATGTTGTTGATACATTGCTGCTCGGACATCATCTCGTCCAGCAGCTTCTCTAGCTTCTGAATGCGCAGCACCACACTGCGGTTGCCGGAGACGGCCTCCAGCGAGGGTGCGCTGCGGAACGCGGCGTCGAGGCGGCGCAACTCCTCGGCCTCCCTGATACCATCCTGCAGCTTCTCCAGCTGATGCGTCAGGCGATTGAGGCGGCGCCGCTCGACGAATTTGCACTGCTCAAGCTGGTCCAGCTCCGCCGCCGTCACGTCACTCGTCCCGGCGCGGATGGTGCGCAGGTGGGTGTTCTCGTCGTGCATCTTTCGGATTCCGCGTCGGTTGGCGGTGCCGCGTTGCTGGAACTCCCGCTCCAGCTTTGCGTGCTGCGCGGCAATCTCGGCGAGCCGCTGCGCGTAGAACGCCACCTCGTCCTGGGAGGCGTCCTGGAGAACGGCGTGGCGCCCCCCCGCAGTGGCCACACGCCTCGGCGGCTGCGGTTTATTCGCGTCCAGCCCCACCGCATGCGGCGCACTTCGCGGACGCCCCATGATTGCCTTCTCTCTCTCTCTCTCTCGGTCTCTATCTTTGTCCTAACTAACTAACTATATATATATATATATGTGTGTGTGTGTGTGTTAGTGCGCTCGCTGACTAGACGCCTGTCGCAGGTCGGCGGAGGCAAGTGGGCGGTGAAGACGAGGCTCTGCGGCGTCCGCCGAGGGGCATGCAAACACACCTTGCCGCCAGGGAGAAGGAGCGAGCAAAGGGAGAGGCAGCGGGAGTTGTGGAAAGAAACTCAGGAGCGACCAGCAGGGAGAGAGGGGGAAAGAGAGGCAGAGCGTTGCACTGCCCCCCGTGACACCCGGGAAGCATATTGGCGACGGCAGCGGGAAGGACACCGCCTGCCCCCTCACATACTCGCCCGTGGAGGAAGTCGACACGACAAAAAGAGAGGCGCGTGGTACAACGACGACAAGAACGTGTGCATGTACGTGTGCGCGGCAAAGGAAGCGCAGGCCGGTGCATCCCCACCGCACGTAAAGGGTGCGGCGAACGCGGCGTCGCATGTGTTCAGGCCACTGCTGCAGCCCCAACATAGCCACCCCCCTCCCCCTCCCCATGCATGCATGCATGCATCAGCGGCAGCAGCGGCACAGCTAACAATTATGCACAGCAGCGAGTCATCGGAGAAGAGGAGGGGAGGATGGAATGTTTTTTGTTTTTGTTTTTGCTTGTTTGTTGATTGTTGGTGGGGTTTTGCGCGGCACCTGCCCCCCACGGCGCCGCGGCAGCGGCTGCCCCTCAATTCGCGTCCACGGTGCACGTCGGAAAGCGCGCCCTGGCCAGCCCAACCTCCTCCCCCGTGAGCCGCTCCCCTCTGCCCCGCCAGAAGGACAAAAAACACGGCGGGGCGTTATTCGCTGTGGTGAACAGGCGTCGGGCCTCGTCCAGCAGGCCGTCGAGCGACTGCCAGAGCGCCTCGTGCCCCGCGGTGGCCTCTGCCGCAAAGACGGCAGAGTGCCGCACGGCAAACGTCACACACGCCGGGCGCAACCGCGCCTCCCCGACAGAAACGCCACCGCCGGCGTCCTCCACGGTGTACGCCGCAAGGCGCCGCAGAAATTGACGCATCCGCAGCACGTCCGTCGCCGCGTACGCCGCAAACGCATTCGGCAGCCTCCAACCAAACGAGAGGCCAAAGCCAAAATGGGACACAAAGGCGTAAATCAGTGCGTGCAGTTCCGCCTCGGGGAGTGCGGTAAATGAGAGGTGATCCGCAGGCTGCCTCGTCGTGTCACGAGGGCCCACCGCAAGGATGTCGGCGTTCCACCAGAATAAAAACTTGGCGCTTAACTCGCCGTACAGTGCGGAGGTCTGGGCAATCAACGCGTGCGCCGCGGCGGCGGCGCTGGGGTCTTTGAAGTCCAGTTTCACAACGCCCAATCTCCCTAACCGTGACGCCACGATGTCTGCCAGCTCCTCCAGCCAGGCGGCGAGGGTAACACACGCGGCCGCCTCCGCCGCAGCAATTGGGTCGTGGTGCAGCAAAGGCACCATCGCTGCATCGTTCGGCGCGACACGCACATCCACCTCGAGGCCTATTGGGTGTTGCTCAGTGGCGCTGAGCAGGCGGTCCGCAGCTGCGTGCAGCGCGGCAAGCGAGTTCACGGCGTGCGCCCATTCCTGGGGAACGCAACTGCGCCTTGCTGTGGGTGCAGCTGCCATTCTAGTCTTCCCTGTCGCGCGCCGTTGGCGGTTCTTCCACGCCTGCGTGTGACTCCCTCCTTCTGGTGCCCCCTCACCTTTCTTGCGTGGCCCCCCGCACCTCCCTCGGCACACGGGGACCTCCTCCTCATCACAGGCGACGGAGCGCAGAGAAACAGCGCGGAGGGAGAAGAAGCGCAGTAGCACACGTGGCTACCGACGGCGGGTGCGGCTTGCCGAGCCCACGCGCACCCCCCACATGGCGCTGCCGCAGACGCAAAGCTCCCTCCTACCCAGCGCCAATCCCCCGCCGCGACAAACAGGCAAGACAGCCGCAGTCACAACACCCACGCCCCCGGCCACACCCCGCCATTGCCACCGATACAACACTCTTGGCTTGGATCGGTGCGCGTGCACGCGTGTGCGTGCGTGTGTGCTCGCGGTAAGGAGGGCGTGGGAAACCACAGCGGTCTGCGAAGTCTTTTTTTTTTCCTTCGTCATTGGGTTCATTTTACTGCTGCTGTTGAGGATTGCCATGCAGCTGGTGCCTTCTTCCCCCTCGACTTCTTCGTTGTCGCACGCTGTCAGCGAGGACGGCATGAAGCTGCGGAGGAGGCCACGCCAGTATAAAGCCGGCCGCCCTCACAACAACAAAGATGTGCCGCATGAAGCAGGCAAAAACACACACACAACAACAACAGTAGTCAACGTTAACGAGGCCGATTTGCCCGCTGGCAACGGGCAAGCCCCTGTGGTTTCACAGAGACAGACAGCGACAGTGCGCGCCTCAACGCAGAATGACCTTGGCCTTGTCCGTGGTCTTCGTCTTTGCCCTGTTTAGCACCTGCATACTGCTCTCCACCCGCTTCCGCATCAGGGCGTGCATGTACGTTCTGCCGGCGTGAATGTGATAGGCGAGTGTGCTGCGGAAGTTCACGAGTTGCGTGACGGTCTCGACGAGGTGCTCGCCAGGCTCCATTTGCCGCCGGAAGAGCTGAAAGCTGCACCAAAACACATCGGGGTCCGTCAGCGACGGCAGGGCGAGGTCCTCCGGAAAAGCGGCGGGGGGCTTGCCGTGGTCAAACACGAAGGCCGGGGCCGCGCTGATCTCCCGCTGCAGCTTCTTCGCATCCATCATGGCCTGCAGAAAGTGCCTGGTGAAGACCGCCTCGTCCTTGGAGGCGGGCCGCAGGGCGACGGCGACGATAAAGTTCCCCCTGTTGCTGAACAGCACCATCTCCTCCGCCGCGTGGTAGTGCAGCACGACGGGCCGCAGCGGAGCCTCCGGCCGCGCCGCGTACAGCGCGTGCTGCCCGGCAAACACAGGGACGTAGCTCCATATCCGCAGCTGCGCCGCCGACTGCAGCGCCGCCTGCCGCAGGGGCGCCGCGGCGTCGGCAGGGACGTGCACCTCCGCAACGAAGCCGCCGTCGCTGCGGGCATGCGCGTTGCCCCTCAGAAACCTTCGCAGATCCGCGGGAAAAAGCGTCGGAAGGACGTCTTCAAAGTTGCGGAGGGCATTCAACTCCTTAAACGGGGTGGAGTGCCGCAGCGCAACGGTGACGGCGGCCCGTTGCGGCGTGGCGCCCGCGCCGCTTTCCGCCTCCCAGTCCACCTGGATGTGGTACTCGCACCCGTCAAAGTCGCGCACGACGGTGTGTGGGGTTTTGTTCTCCCCGCACAAGACGCGGTCGACGGCCGCCCGCACCGACGGGTGCGCCCGCTCAAGCAGATACATGGACGCAGACGCAACTACCACCTTGCAGGGAAGCGACAGAGTGGGGCATGTGTGTGGTGGGAGAAGGCAGCGTAAATGACACCGCACATTTCATTGCGAGGGGCTAAGCAACATGCCCGCTTCTTTTTTTTTTTCATTTCTTCCTTGCCCACGTTCCCTGCCTATACGCCCACACAGAGGTAGCCTTATCCAGGGCGACAGAATCAGCAGACGAACTCCCTCACCGCACAGTCCTCGCAAACAAAAAAGTAAAAGACAGGCGCCAAACACTCACGCAGCCGCCAGTACTCGGCCGACGGCTCCGCAAACAACGGGCTCCGCTCCGCCACAATGCTCCAGACCGGAGCACCACCCCCCTTGGGCGTCAAGGCCTTGCCGCTTCCCTTGCAGCCTTTTCAAATGGGCATCCAGCGCGGCGTAAAAGTGGCGCAGCAGCACCTGCCCGCTAATGCCAGAGAAGGCAATAGTGCAATCCTGCGCCAGCACTTCATTGTATGGGCATGCCGCACGATTTGTGCAAATAAAACCGTCGCCCTCGGCGGCGTGTCCCGTGCTCGCGCCATCAGGCACACTATCCTCCGCTTCCCCTGGACAAAACAAGAGCCCGTCCGCGCACCATGGGCACCGCAGCAGCGGAGTCCCCGCCAGGGCCAATGACGGAACACGCGCGTGGTCGCCGCGGTTCCGTTTAGCGCCCATCCCCGCACGCATTCCGCCTAAATCCCTGCGCAACCACGTAAAGCACCACCCGGCGTACGTAGAAAAAATACCTCCCACTCTCTGCCTGCGTTTGTCTGTCTGTCGTTCTCTCTCTCTCTCGCTGTGTGGGGCGGGGGGTGGGGGCGTCCTTCTTCTCGGCCTCGCGCCCCTCTCCCACCTCGTCAGTAGCACCGAAGGTATAAAAGCAAAAAAAGAAAAAGAAATACAAGCACCGACGCCGACTGAGCCTCTCCCCTTCACCCCCCACACAGAAACGCACGCACGCACTAAAACCAAATGGAACTCACACCTCAGATTGATCCCCCGCATTTGCCCTTTTCCCACGAGGCGTTCCCTCCCCTTCCTCCCCCACTGCTTCCAGGCGGCGTCGTCGATAAAGAAAACGCCGCACTGTGGAAACAGCGAAATAAAGTTGTTGCTTTTGTACCAGCGGGACCTCCCCCTCTCCCTTATGCTACTTTCCATTGAATCGCCTTAGTTCCGTATAAAAACATGAAAAACAAAAACAAACATAAAAATCGCGTTTTTTAAAAAATATCCTTATCAATAACAATAATTTCCTCTGCTCACTCTCCTTTTGAGTCGAACTGGCGTCAGAGTTTTCCAACCTCCTCCACCGTCATTACTGAAGTGCGACAATGGCGTCCAGTGCGATGCGGAT